GATTTAGGGAGAGTCTTTCTGTTTTGCTTTGTTGTTTTCTGTGCTGTATAGTCCAATTTATTGTCTACAATTCCATTAAAGTCTCCCATCATAACTATATTAGCATAGTCCAGTTCAATTATTTTCATATGTAATTTTCTATAAAATTCTTCTTGATTGTCATTCGGGGCATAGATTGCAATCAGGAGTGTTTTCATATTATTGTCCATTATTTCCACCATTAGTAATCTTCCATCGTCATCGGCATAGATCAATTTCACTGGGATAATATCTTTAATGTATAAAACCACTCCTCTTTTCTTGCATTGTATCAAAGAAGTAAATATTGTCCCTAATTTTGGCTGTATCAGCAATTGTTCTTGTTGCTTTTTAATATGTACTTCTTGTAGACAGATGATATCAAATTTTAATTTCTCTAATTTATGGAAAGTTTTCCTTCTTTTAACAGCTGAGTTAAGTCCATTCATGTTAATTGTAATCAGTTTTTTCTCTTCCATGGTTATATTTTATGGTTAGGTTTAGCAGCTCTCGTAGATCTTGGTTCACGTTGTTCTTTGACTTCCACCTTTCCGCCTACTGCACCTTCTTCCTTTTCAGTCGCTGTTTGGTAGTCCTCTTGGAATTCAATTAGTGACTTTTCTTTTTCTGCCTCCTCCTCTTTCTCTCCAAAATATTCTGTATAAATAATTCAGCTTTCTCAATTGAGTCAATTCTATGTTTCTGTTCTTGCCATGTGAACATTAAACCTTCTGGAATCAGCCATCTATAATTCACCTCTTTTTAAAGTAGAATTTTAGTCAGAAATCGGTATTCTCTTCTCATCTCTCTCACTCTTCTGGGTACTTGTTTCAAGATCACAGTCTCCTTGTCTTTATATTTCAATGTTTTCTCTCTTGCCACTTGCAATATTTGCGTTTTAATGGCTTTCTTTGTAAATCTGATGTAAACTTCTCTTGGTAAACTATTTCTCATTGCATATCTTGTGAAGACTCAATGAACCTCATCTATTCCATCCATCATCTTCTCTTTAGTTATTTCCAGAGCTTCAGCCAAAATTTCTATCATTATGTCAGCTAGATTTTGTCCCTTTTCTTCCTCTATGTTTTGGGATCTGAGATAAAATTCTGATCTGTCCATCTCCCAACTCAACATCCCACTTTTATCATGTTCAACCACAGTTAATCTGCTATCAATATCTCCAATCTTCTTATCTCTTTGTTTATCTTCTTCTTCTTCAATTTTTTGGAATCTCTCATCATACTTCATCATTTGTTGAAAGTTCTCCACCTTTTCATCAGTTTTTCCTGTTCTTTATTCAATGTTCTCTGTTCTCTTTTCAATATTCTCTGTTCTTATTTGTATATTTTGAATTCCTTGCATAATCATCTGCAGCGTCACTTTTTCCTGTTCTTTTTCTTGCTGTAACATCATCTGTATTGAGCGTTGTCCTCCAGATGGGGAAGAGGAAGAAGTAGAAGTTGAGGAACCAGGGGCTGTTAGTTTCCTACTCATTTCAGACAATTCAAAATCTTCAGGTTCTTCTAGACCTTAATCCACTTGTGAAATAACCAATTGTAATTCCAAGTAAAAATAGTGGGGGTGAAGAAGCCAAATAATAACAATAATAATAATAAGAGAAAAATTCTTCAGGTTCTTGTATACCTTAATCCAATCGATTGGTTAGATAGCAGTGAAAACTGAAAAATGGAAGAAAAGACCATAAAAACACACAAAAAAAGAAAAAATTGTTAAATCCTGGAACAGGCGGAAAAATAAAAACCTAAAGAAGAGAACAGAAAAGTTCTTCAGGTTCTTCAACACCTTAATCCAATTAAAAAGTCTCAGGTATAAAAGGATGCATAACAAAAAAAAAGAAAGCCACAAAAAATACCAATATGGAAGGTAAATAGAAAAAAAAATACAAGGGATGGAGAGAGAAAAAAGAAAAGAGACTACTCTCTTAAAAAAAAAGAAAAGGGAAGGAAATCATTAATACTAAAGCTTTTCCTTCAAAATAAAATGCAAACGTAAAAATTAGACTTCAAAAACAAAAAAGAAAGACAAAAACAAGTTCCAAAAGGCCAAAGATCCAAATAGCTATTACAAAAAGTAAGCTAGTAAGGAGGGGGTTTGTTAAAGTAAGAAATAGCCCATCTTAAAAAAAGTAAAAGGAGCACACTGCACTTTGTTTGGTTATCCAAGGCTTTTGTTAAAATTTATAACTCTCTTCTCCAGAGTCTTATCAACTTTTTTTTCTATAAACTTCAACACCAGACTCCAGCTCTTGATAGAAACCCAGAAGAGCACCTGCAATAATACTCTCCCATGCTCTTCTCTCTATCTTATCAAACAGGCTCATAGTCCTTGAAAAGAAGTCTCAGTTCTTTCTCAGCTTTGTCTGGTCAAGAAAAAAAGAGATAGAATATTTCCAAGCCTCTAGCTGGCAGTGTTACAAAGTTTCTTCTGCTTTCACTCCCCCCCCCTTTTCCAAACAAGATATAATAAAAATTAATTAAAAAGGGAAAAAGATATTAGAAAAGATGACTAGAAGGGAGTCTCTAGCCTAAAATATTATAAAGTCAAAAAGGAAAGAAAGAATAGGTGGGAGAAAAAAAAAAACCAGTCCAGTTTCAAAATCTAAAATCGTGTGTAAAAAATCCAGCAAAGAGAAAAAAAATAAAATAAAAAAAATATTACGTTGACTTCCTGTTTAAAATCGCCACTTAATCACTTCTGTCAAAACTTTTACAGATTCTTTCTTTTCCTTAGGGTGTCCTTTCAGATCTTAGAATAAAGAAAAAATTCTCACCAAACCGGCACACTTTCTCTTTCCGTTCTCTTTCATTTCAGAGCTGTCCCAACTTCAGCAGCTTTAATGGCTGCCTCTTTGCCGCTGGCAAAAAGAGCTCTCTCCTGGATCTACCAGGGACTTTGCAGTGTCCCTGGGATTGACAGGATGCGCTCTTCACTTTCACCGTCTCTTCGGGACGGTTTAGCTCCGATAGGACCGTCCAGGAGCAAAGATATCGGCAGTGATCTCAGACCTCCAAGATCGCATGCCGTATCGTCGCGACACCAGCTCCGCCCTCCCCAGATTGCATTAGTTGTTTTGGTTGCTGCTGCACACTGCTAGCTCATATTCAAATGATCATCCACCAGGACTCCAAGGTCCCTCTCACAGTTACTATTTTTGAGTCAGGTCTCACCTAAGCGGGTGATACTAAACTGGCAGGAATAGCCAACAAGTCAAGAAGATAGGATCAAGATCCAGATGCATCTTGACAGATTTGAACACTGGGCCGTATCTAACAACATTAAATTCAGTGTAGAGAAAAGTAAAATCTTAGGCATGAAAAACCCAAAGTACACATATAGAGACTGGGTGAAACCAGGCTTAATAGCAGTAACTGGGAGAGGGATCTTGGAGTCTTAAATGGACAAGCAGCTAAATAGGAGCCAGCAGTGTGCAATGACAGTCAAAAAAGCCAATGCAATCCTAAGTTGCATTAACAGAGGGATACAATCAAGATCAAGGGAGGTACTAATACCACTCCATAAAGCCTTAGTAAGACCACACCTAGAGTACTGCATCCAGTTTTGGACACCACATTATAAAAAAGATGTTGAGACTCTAGAAAGAGTACAGAGAAGAGCAACCAAGATGATCAGGGGACTGGAGGCTAAAACATACAATGAATGGTTACAGGAACTGGGCATGGCTAGTCTAGTGAAGAGAAGGGCCAGGGGAGACATGATAACAGTGTTCTAATATTTGAGGGGCTGCCACAGAGAGGGAGGGGGGTCAAGCTATTTTCCAAAGCACTGGCCAGACAAAGGATAATGGGTGGAAAATCACCCAGGAGAGATTCAACCTAGAAATAAGGAGAATTTTTCTGACAGTGAGAACGATCAACCAATGGAACAAAAGTTGCGTTCAGAAGTTGTGAGGGGTTCATCACTGGAAGTTTTCAAGAAGAGACTGGACTACTATCTGTCAAAAATGGTGTAGGGTTGGACTATATGACTTACAAGGTCCCTTCCAACTCTGTTAATCTATATCTGTATCTATCTAATCTGTACTTCTACATTTGATTTTTCCTGCCTAAATGTAAAGTTTTGCTTTTCTCCACATTAAAATTCATTTTGTTGGATAGGGCCCAGTGTTCAAGTTTGTTAAAGATCTGTTTGGATCCTGAGCTTGTCTTCTGGATTGTTGGCTATTCCTGGCAGTTCAGTATCATCTGCAAATTTGATGAGTTCCCCTTCTGTTCCCTCATCTAAGTCATTTATGAGCGATTAAGTCATTTTTGAGGTGATGTCCAGCAGCTTCAGTCTCATTCTGAAGCCAACAGTGGTGGCCATGGGCCTGCTGAAAGGGGCCCATTGCTGCTTAGGCTGCTACATTTGGGGCCAGCTGTAGCTTCTGGCTGGTCTTGAAGGGTAGCCCCATGTGGGGGTCTGACAATTATTCCTGTGTACATTGGAATATCTTGAGATATTTTGAAGGCAAACAGATGAAGCAAGTTTTAAAACAGTCTGACAACAAGAGCTGTATTTGCTGACAAGGTGAATATGAGTGAAAAAAACCAACACACTTCCAAACTGCTACTAATATTGGTCTCCCTTGCATCAAAGTGGCTTGAATAGGAGACTGTTGACAAAGAAAAACCAGCATGCAGTGTTTGTTGCTACTTACTTGGGTGGGTTTAAGTTGAGGGGACACTGTGGACCCCCATAATGATTGTCACTATTGCCTGGAACATTTTTGATAAACCTGAGTTAGGCATTGAATGCTGCAACCACACGTTCAGGAGGAGAACGGGTGTCCATCGTTTGTTTCCTGATGGCTCTGTTGCATAAATGACCCGATTCCCATGATTCGTGTGGAGATCAGATGCTTCACTGGACACCCAACCTCGGGTGGGCTGCACTAGGAATGGACGGCTGCTGGAGCGCTCCCTTTGACTCTGCCTCACTTTCCTCTTTGATCCCGTTTCCAGGTGAAACTGGTGAACATTCGTAATGACGACATCACCGATGGGAACCCGAAACTTACCCTGGGTCTGATCTGGACGATTATCCTTCATTTCCAGGTAAGGTCGTGGCTTTGCTCTGGAGGGGAGGAGGAGGAGGAGGAGGAGGAGGCCTGAGGTGGCTTGTCTGGCCAATTAATCGCCTTTCAGGTCAGGGAAAATAAGCAGCTTTCCCGTTAGTATTTTTGGTGATTCACTCATTGCGTCTGCTTCTGTTTGGAGCTCCAGATCACCCCTGAGGTTGTCGGGAAGGGGCCTTTCCTTTAGGTGAAGTTGCCTGGCTGTGTGTGGTGGGTGAACAATGGGCATGCTGTGTTTTGGGGAAGGGGTGGCTGCCATCCCACAGGCTGCAGAGTAGTCTTGTTACCCTTAACATCCTGGGACATTGTATAATGGCACCTTATTATTTATGTATGCATATAGTTCATTTGTTAGAACTTCCCAATTGTAAAACAACTGTGATAATATGAAAGAAACCGCTGGATAAACAAAAGGCTCATGACAGAATATAAATAGGGAAGCAAGATCTCATTGTCCCAACCCTTGTACAGAGGCTTGTCTAACGGAGAGGACTGGGGAAACCGTTTTTCCCTGCAGGGCCTTCAGGGTAGGAGCCATATGGATCTCCAGAGGGGACATGGACAGCATGCTAATATTGTGGTTGCCTTTAGGTTCATTCTTAACCTTTGTGTTTTGGCTTCCTTTGATTTTCTGAGATACAGAGATACGGTAATTTTGTTGTAAGAGAACGCAAGGCCTATGATGCTTCCATTGGGCAAAAAAGCCATGGAACTGAGGAAGATAAATGGTTGTTCCCATTTCGCAGCTGGTACCCTGGAGTTAAGCCTTGAGAAGGTGTGATTTGTCAAGGCCATTGCCAAATCATTGCAGCAAAGACATGGACTATTGGATTATTTATTAAATAATTATATGGATTATTTATTAAACAATTTGTGTGCCGCCCATCTTGTGCACAGAAGAGAATTAGAGAGTGGAGTGGAATGCTATATTTGTCTCCAGTGCAATAGCTCTCAGTGTACATTCCAAGCAACAGGATAATCGTCATCGTGATAATGATACAGGTGATTCTATATGCCTTCCTGACTGTATGCCTTGCTAATCCACAGAACCACTTGGTTGCGCTGGGTGGCTGCAGAAATTGAATAAATAAATCTCTGCTCTCCTTAGTTCATCTAAGTTATATCTTGTACACTGACATGGGAGTTTTTTCAATATTTGGTTCTAAGGAATGGCTTTAACTTGCAGTGTCATCTTGTATCTGAATAGTGGGGGGCGGACAGTTGAGGTGCTGTGCAAGAGTCTTGAGAGGCATGTCAAAAGTTCTTGAGTAATCTTCCTGTAATACAGCTGTAGTGGGGAGCCTTTATTGCTGGAATACAAGGCATCTGGCCTGTGTTGAGGGAGGGGGCAGGTCAGCAACCAGCAGTGCACCCCCCAAGAGTAGACTTGGCAGCTCTGTGTTTTCCTGGGCTGGAGCCAGGAGCTCTTTGCCTGCTTCCCTTGAACTGAAGAAGGCAAGACTGCCTTTCCCAACCGCATCTGCCCTGACAGTTGAGGTTTGAGTGATAGCCTTGATGCAGGGAATGCTTTTCTGGAAACAGCCCCCTTGGCTGCACCTACAGGCAGCGCTGTGCCTGCACTGCGTAATTCATCTGTGAGCCACTCCTTCCACTTCCCTGGCCCATCTCTACCCACCACATGGCAGGCAGGGGGAAAACTGGCACAATGGAATAAACCAAAGGATGAATGTTTCACTGAAAGAATAGGCATCCTCAAATGCTAAAAGGCTCAGAGAGGGACCTTTGAGCCCATGTTGGCTCCTGGCAACTTCCTGGACTAGCAGTTTTCTGGACAAGGCTTTTCAGCAGTTGGTTTGCCGCTGGCTCCTTCCTAGGGCTGAGAGAGAGTGACTGGCCCAACCCAAGGCCATCTATATCTGGCTTGGTGCCTACTAAGGCAGGAATAGAATTCAGGGGCTCCCAGTTTCTAGCCTCGTGTCTTAATCCCTACACCAAACTGGCTTTTTAACAATAAGAAGCATGCTGAATATGAAAGCAGAAATTAGTACTTAGGATGGCTACTCAACACAGAAAGATGCCTGAAAATCTGGGATTTCTCAAATAACTGGAGTAGGGTCTTGTTGCTCAGCTAAGAGTTGTGTGATTGTAAGTTTGCAGGTAGTTTCTTCCAGTCTGAATTCGCTTGTTAGCTGCAGCTGCAATAGGAGATTTAACAGAATAGATGACACCAGTCCCCATTTTTCATGAATGTCTTGATAAGTTACAGCCTCAGGAGCTGTGGGTCTCTGCGTAAGAACACAACAGAAGAAGAAAGGGTCCATCTCTCTCCTCTTCTCACCAGGCGCTGATTGCGAGATCTTTCTGTCCTATCCAGCGTTTTCCTGGATTGCCTTCTCTGCTTCAGAAAGGACGGGGGTGGGTGGGGAGATGCATAGCTGGCGAGGAGGGTGGACCTGCTTGGTGCTCTCTGAGCTGGGTTGTTTGCTTGAAAAACTTTCATTACCCAGGTCGGTAACAGGATCAGTGCATCTGCAGGAAAACAGCCCAGCTCCAGAGAGCACCAGAACCCCACAGAACGAGCCTGAGCTAGAGAGATCTCTTCTGTTGGGACACTCCCCTCGGGGGCAGGGAAGGGAAGCTTCTTAAAGTCCCATGGGTGAGGTGCCAATTCTTTTCCAGTTGGGGGGGGGGGGGGGGGGCTCTGCCAAGGACCAGAAGAGCCTGTGTGTGTGTGTGTGTGTGTGTGTGTGTGTGTGTGAGAGAGAGAGAGAGAGAGAGAGAGAGAGACTTCATTGAGTGTAATAGAGTTCATATGTGGCCTTTCATTGAATAAAAGGATATTTAAAAAAGAACAAGTTTCAGTCGTACGATCCTTAATGATGATTTCCTTCCAAACACTGGTCCTGCCCCAACTGTGCTGCTGAATCCCAACCCCTCTTTGCTCGCCTTGCAGGGAGAACCCACCTCTGGGCTTGGGAGGGGCTGAACCCTGGACCTCCGTGTGCCAAGAGGAGCCCAAGGCTTCCTCACAGCTCTCAGCCCTGCAAGCTGGCGCCTAAGCCAGTCCTTGGCCAGGGGCATCCCCGGGGCCCTGCTAGGCGAATCCCCCACCCTGGACGGCCAGGCTTGCTGTAGGTCTTGCCTCCCCCTGATGGGCGGGGTGGGGGGTGTTGTTTGTTTAGAAATGCAAAAGGACCTGCATCAATTGAGCTGAAAGGCGTCCGTTGCTTATTGCCTGCCGGATAATAATTCCCTTTTAAAAGCCAGGTGGTGTTAATGCATTCAGAGGTCGGCATCATTTCTCGAAGCGGCGAAGGAATCAGGTGGGCTCTGCAGAAGCCGAGGCAGGCACAACCTCCTGCTCCCAGAGACGGTCAAGGGAGACTGGCCTGACTTGAGCCAACACCAGTGTGGTGCTCATCCCCCCCCCCCGATCCCTCCCCCATTTCTGGCCAGGCGAGCACTAGGTGGCACTGCTGCCTCAAGAACAAGTGGAGGGGAAATGGGGAGGGGTCTGACTGCAGAGGAGCCCCTGGGAAGGTGCTGGTGCCCAGAAGCTGTGCCTGTTGCTGCTGCTGCTACTGCTTGGGCAGCGGTGGGGAGAAGAAGAACTTGGCTCCTTCTGGCTCCTCCCTCCTTATGGAACATCCTCCCCCCCCCCCCCCCCCCCCCCCCCCCCTCCCGGCTGAGCGGGGGGGGGTCCGGGGGGGGGGGGGGCAGGGGGCGGGTGAAATGCTACCGTGGCTTCATCGTGGGGCTGATACTGGCTCTCTCCTGTGCTGTACAGAGTTTTCTTTTTAAATAATGTCTGCGTTAAATGTTAACAGTGGCTCTTTTTTTTATATCTATTGTTTTTAATCTTGTATGCTGCCCAAGATAATAAAGGTTTGTGAGGTGGACAGTTGTATAAATGGGGTAGGAGGTCAACTAATCAGAGCAGACAGCAAGGACCAGGCATGCTTTGGACGGGAGCCTTTCGGTCAGTGCCGGGGGGCTGGGTGGGTGGAGCAAAGGACGATGGGTCCCTGACTTCTAGGTTGGTGTAAAGGCCTCCGTTTGTATGGATTAGCTGGTGCCTTTCAGTGCAAAGTGCATGCATTCAAAAGCATGGATTAATTAACTAATTAAGGGTGATGACGGTTGCCTAGAATGAAAAAGGGGGAAGTGAAAGTCTTATGGCTGGCTGGTGGGGCACGGCCTGCTCTGCCCCCTCAACTGCACAGCCCCCTCAATTAAAGGCTGCCAGTTTAGCTAAAGGGGGATAATTTGGTGGGTAGGGAAAAAAACCATCCACCCTCCCTTCCTGCTCACAAAACGTGGAACTGATTCTCTTCCAGGAAACTGTCAAGGCAGCTTCTTGGGAACGGTTGGCTTTGGCCTGCTTTCTTTTCCAAACCAGAAGGAAACCCTCCACCTGGAATCCGTGGGGAATCTGTGTCGGTGGGTCAGAATTCCCCGCAGATAGCACTGGACTCTTTGCTCTTCAGCCTTTCGCAGGAACGTTTCCTAGTCCAACATTTCTCAACCCCAGCAACCTTCAGGTACATGGACTTCAACTCCCAGAATTCACCAGTCAGCATAGGGAATTCTGGAAGATGAAGTCCATCCACACAACTTAAAGTTGTTGAGCCTGAGAAACATTGTCCTTGTCTGTTTCACGTGTTGGTTGAATGGGATGAACAAGAAACAGGCAGGGGGCCCATATTGCTGCCCCCAGCTTAAGTTTCTTGCCATTAAGAAAATCTCTTTTCTTTGGACCCAGAAGGCAAATTAGAAAAAAGGATGTGCAGCTTCTAGTGACCTTTACCCCCCCCCCCCCCCAATCAAAGTGGCTTATTAGATATGGCAGCCGCTAACCTTTTGGCTCCTCTGCCTAGCACACAGCTAGAATGGCATCTGCCTGCAAAACTGAGGAAGGGCAATACCCCTCCTGCATTGTGGACCGTTCTGTGGCCGGGCTGAGGAAGGAGAGTCCCTGTTAAAGGTGTCAGCGCTGCATCAGACGAAGGTCCACCTTGG